ATGAAAAAAAGCAGTTTTGCATCACAGGACGGAATAAGTTTGCTTCAAAAGGAGCTAGAGATCATATTTACGCAAGCTTGTGCCATATTTAGAGAACAGGTTTGTTCTAAAAGTGAATTCTCAATAAGAGACAGATACAAAAAATGCCTCCAAGCTTTCAGACAGAAATGCCTCCAAGACAGAACTCCAGAGGGAATGTTTGTGGCAAAAGGAGACTTGGTTTCTGTTCAAAACACAAAGACAGCACTCCTGATTCTGAATTTTGACGTCAACAGGAGCAAAACAGTACCTGAAATGCAGCGGGGCTGTGACTGGGATTTAAGGAAGCTGGAACTCCCTATAGTACTGGAAGTGCTGGGATCTCTTGGACAACCACAGCTGAGAGAATAAGCTCATTTCTTTGCTCTAAGAAGGCTTAAACTACCGCCTGTCTGCAGATCTGAGCGCAGGTCATGGTCAGTAAAAAGGCACCCTGAGCCCCCAAAGCCACAACAAGCTTTCTCGGTGCCCTGGAGCCCCACTGAGGCCGTGCAACAAGCGCGTGCTTTGGTCTCGGGGGGAAGGTGACAATGGCACCGAGACAGTCGCTGGTACGCAGAGCGTCCACCCCTCGGAAAGCTGTACACGACGACACCTTTTGCTGAGCAACACAAATTAGGCACCCAGATATACCTGGACACACCAGTAGACTAATCCCTCAGACATATACACAGAGCCCCCAAAACATTTAGAAACCTCAATACTCCTCTGAAAACACTCTTTGTCAAGAGCAAAACTACAACTGCTATTCATTCTTCCCAACTACATGTGCTACATAAAGCCACACATTCACTAAGCTTAGCAGAATAGATCCTACTCAACAAACTCCAGCTTCAAAAAGAAAAGTCAACAACCAAATAAAACAGTTATCATTTCTGAAATCCATTTTCTAGAACACTGAGGAACAAGCAGGCAGCGCTGGCAACCTTTAAACCCAAAGAGCAGAAGGAAATATCCAGCAGAACTGAGCCAAGGCTCCAAAAATACACCAGCAGCCATTTGCTTTACCTTTGTCTGCAGAAGCATCCGGGCTGGAGTCATGCAACTGTTTAATCGGTGAAGAAGCTTTAACTGGTGCTGGGATACTCAATGGTAGCGGTAAAGACGTAGGAACATCAGAAAGCTCAGACTCTGAAGACTGGGAAAAGAGATACTCCTCGCCAAGGGAATGCCTATGTAGCTCCACATCCACTACCTTCCAGAAATAGGTGAAAGGATGACATTAATATTTGGTAGCTAGGTAAAGATATATAAAGCAAAAAAAAAAAAAGCCTTTTTTTTTTTTTTTTAATGTTGCAGAATGTCTGGAAACCTTCTCCCATCCTCTCCACACTTTTGCATAAAATTTCCACTCATTTCAGGAATCTGCAACGTGAAAACGCCATAGTAAAATAGCACATCTCTCTGTCCTGAATAGTGAACAGTTAAGGAATACAAAGCCCAGATCCAAGGGAAGGGCTCTAGGTACCCCCACAGGAATGGGCACTGAACTGCAGCTTGCCTTTTCTGACTTTTTTGAAAAAGGCCTTGAGAAACACTACTACAACATCACATACTCTTCAAAAAATGTTCTTTAATCACAGCAGACATCTCACGTTAAAGTCTCTTCCACAGACTGAAAAGCTGAAATAATGCAATTTCACGATAAAAAAAAAAAATCTACTTGCTACAGTAGGAGGGAAATATAATAAAAACTCTAAGGCTGTGACAGGCGATGAGTTATTCATTCATTTATTTTAAAGTTTTTTTTAAAGTTTTAAGATTTCATTTTCCATGAATGTACTGAATGTTGACACAGGCAGAAAGTTAGAAGCACTTAAATCTACTGCAAAATTTCAGCAGAATAGTTAGGTGATCCCCTTAAATTCCTTAATTATGAAACAGGCAGCACATCACAATGCAGACCAAGACATCTGGTAACAGAAGTCCATAAAGAAATAATTAAAACCATAGTACGGATTAACATTTCATTAAACAAGACCTGGAGTTCCTCCTGCACTGCAAAGTGAAAACAAACAAAAACAAAAAGCTTTTGTCACAAATAGTGACAAGCTGTTATAATTACTTCGCTTCACAAGAGAAGAACCTATATTCCCAACACAATGGAAGTAAACGGAGGCAACTCAGTACATAGTCCCATAAGGACTACAAGGATTTTAAAAATCCTTACAGAAATCAAAGTACAGCACCCCCCCCACAACCCGTTCACTCACCGTTTCTGCGCCAAGTGTCTGCAGGCCTGTGTAGGTCCTGTCCAACTGAGCAAAGCAATATAACATTCATATTAACAGGGGCAAAGCAATACATTAATTAAAAATCACAATACGATTGTTTGAAAAGAGTTGAAACTACATAATTTGAACAATACATCAAATGTTATGAAGCCACAGGGTCAGAAATCTGTTTCACTGTTCAACACTCTCTTCTGCAAAATAAAACCACCACAGTTCAAAGTCTATGCTAAAGAAGAAAGGGAGAAAAAAGCTGAAGGCAGTGAGAGTTGCTGGGGAGACACGCAGTCCCCTGGAGCCGCAGTGCAGCACAGGACATGCAGCAGTCTAGGAAGTTGGCCTACACAGGAGGAAGGTGATTTGAGCATCTAATTGTCCCTGCTCATGCTCTTCATGCATTCAAAGACAGGAAAGAAACGAACAGGGAATCTCGGCCTCTCTTCTCCCTGCCCACTCTGCCAACGGAGAACATCTCTAGCTGAGGCAGAAGTGGAGGGCCAGAACAAAATACAGCAATCACTTCACCAAGGGGAAGAGAACCTCCAGCAATCTTTTTCAAGTTAAAGGCAGTAAAAGGATGGCAAAAACTCAAACTATACAGCAAGGGTATCTATCTCCTTTGCTGCTTTGAGTAGAATCAATTCTAGCTTTTGCCAGGCTGGGTTCCTCGGCTACAGCATCACTTCCAACACAGCCAAGGCTGCTTTTCCTCAATCTTCTTTTCATTCTCCATGTCAACCATTCATGCGTAAATGGGCAGCAGGACAGAGATACAACAGAGGGAAGTATAAACACACACCAAAGCAGAATCTCTTCTAGATTATGCAGGAGAAAACGTTTAATTGCCTTTCTCTCAATCATTTTGTTCACATACCTTCAAATTGTGTATGATATCAATCCTCTTGTTCTGGCTATCCTTAAAGTGTATCTGGACTCTCACAGGGAACTCTCCCCAGCCTCTCCTGGTCAGGTGAAACGGAGGTTCTCTGGAAACAAACGGTGGTTCACATTTTGGATGCAAAAAGGATAGTTTTCACCATCTCTTTTTCAGAAAACCTAAGACTGCTTTCCTAACTGAGAGCTAAAGTTACCTTTAGCCCTGCTGTTCAGCATGAACAGAACGCTAAGTCTGTTCGAGCGACTAAACCTACAAAAATCCTCACTTCTGTGGACAGTTGAAAACATATTTTCACTTTGCGTCATGGAAGAGGGAAGAAAACTGTCAAACAGTGCGTTGGAGTAGAGAGCAACAGGGACAACAGTCATTTTAAAAGCTGCTGCTTCAAAGACAAATTTATATATATGCATATATATAAAAATTTTTTTTTAATAGAAGCTGAAGTCAGTTCCTAGAACACTGCTGCAAGGTGACTTTTCAAGGCAGCATTGTGCACTCTCTGTTATCCCCTATCTACTACCTGAAGGCACACAGCAAAACATACATATACCAAAGAAAAGCTAACTCCATTAGCGCTTGTCTCCAACCTAAAAAAGAAGTGGATATTTATCTCCAATATTTACCATTACTCTGTTTGAACTTCAGTTTAATTGTAAATCCCAAATGTGATTTTGCAAAGAAAAAAAACACAAGAGATTCAAAGGTTATTTTCAGACCTGAACATGAACGTTAATTAAAATGACTGGGACTGCTACAGTAAGAAATCAATTAAATAGAAGGGATTAAACAAGGAGACAGGCAGCACTGATGAGAATGAAATGGAGAAAACACAAAATAGATAGAATTCAGGTGTAATTTAGTACGTTACGCAAGCCAGAGGAGTTTGTTTTCATCCACCTCAACAATCTCAGGAAAATTAGTGACCTTTACCAACACTCCTCCTCTCAGATACGTCTTTCTGGAGTTGCCTTTTAGAGACATCAATTTTGCCATACTTATGTTGACATTCTGTACCAAGACATCACAAACCTGGGCAGCAGAGCCTATTTTGGAGAATAATTCATTTGGGAAGACACAAAGTATCTTGAAGGTTTCCTCCCACTGTCTTGTCCAAGGGAACAAGAAGGAAAATGGACTAGGTCCCTCCTTGCAGGAGTCAGCAGAGAACTGGGACAACTGGGACACAGTTTTGAATATGGCTTTGGGAGAGGATGGAGAGGCTATCAAGTTCCTGCAGCACCAACACCACCACAGTCAAGGGAAATTCATTCTGCGAAGCACAGAGTCAACCCCACTGACCTCACTACAGAGGAGAAATATTTGGAAAGGGGTAAAACTTCTTCCCAAATACATATAAATCATTAAACTATTGGCCAGTTAGCTTTCTATGACTCTTCTTCCTCAAAGGACTGGGAGATAGAGAACATATTTGAACAACAAAAGCCCAACCTGAAGAGCAGACAGAGTATTGCACACAGGAGATGCATGAACTCACATAGATAGAACAAAAATAAAACTAAAAGCTTTTGTCAGTAGGAAAACCCAAAAAACTGTCACATAAATACATAAAAATACATAAAAACTGATTATTTTTGACTATTATTTTGTGAGCAAGTCCAGCAGATTTGGAGGTTAATGTAAGGCATGGGATACAAAACCAGGAAAAGAAGGGGCTAAATTCCTACAAATCTGAGCATTTTAAGTTCAGCAAGCATAAAACTGGATTAGTGCCTTATTACCTCACTTCTACCAGGTCATTAGGTTTGTAACTGGGGTGGAGGAAGAACCAAACTTTCTTGACAAAATGATTTATGCTGGGTTCTCTCCGAGAGCCTCGGACATACACCATCCATTTATGGGTTGACTGATCATTTTCTTCTCTCTTGTCTGGGGGAATGTATCTGGCAGAGAAGTTAAAAAAAAGAAAAGATAAAAAAGATAAACATCACAAAAAGTGTTATGGGAAGATTAGACAAAAAAAAAAAAAAAAAAAAATCTTCTTCCCCATTTCTTTTGAATTACTGAGAATCCACATCACTTCGGAGCACATAGGTAATCCTGCTACCATACACACACACACAAAAGCAATTCTTATTAAAAAACTGTAAGAAGTTTCACAGACAATCTGGCTCTGGGTACATTTTCAAGACGCAATTCTCCCTAATTTCAAGGTAACAATTCTAATCTCATCTGTCAGTGTTCTTTTTTTTTCCCCATAGAAAATAATGAGACTCACTTAAGCTGTCAGACTAGTCTGTTCACTATTAAAACATGGACTTGTCCAAATCCCTCTTAAAACCGCATTTCTTCACTTATTTCTGCAAAGTTATGTCCCTGGTCTTAATTCCCTGGCTTAAAACTTTTGAGGAAACACCATAAAAAACCCTCTATAAAAGAATTTCTTCATACTATGCTTCGCTTTCATAGACTTTACCTCATTCCATTTTTTTTCCCTTTTTGTTTCTAACAACACTGTTTACACAGACACACTGAATTGGCCGCTATTCTGGGCCACAGACACACTGAACTGGGGCAATTCGCTTTTCCAAACTTTCATGGGGGAAAAAAAAAGTTTTTTCATTGATCAGAGCAAGTTGAAAGACTAAATTTGGAAGAAATAAATCTTAAAATCCCCATACTTAACAACTAGTATAACATCTATTCCTCTTCCAACGCTCTTACTGACACTCAAAGAGGACATTCAAAAGCAAGATCTCAAACTAGGATAAATTAACTATTTTAATTGTGTCTTAATTTTAACCTCTTATTCTATTCGGTCCTGAAATGAAGAGCCACCACTAAGACTTCTCATACTAACTTGGAGACGTTGCCAACCACAATTGTTTTCTTCACATAAAGCCGTGAAGTTTCATCATTTGATAGTCCGGCATTTCGTTGTCCTGGTTTTTGAGAGCCTGAAACACCCGAACTGTCCTAAGGGTAGGGGAAGAAAAAAAGGCAAACAAAAAAACAAACATTGCTCTTAAATATTATTTGTTTGGCACTAGGAAAGCGAGGCATTGTTAAGAAAATAAACCCATGCAATAACAAGAGAGACCAATAACCAACGATATCTGAAGGAAAATATCTAAATTACTAACTAGGCACATGCGAATAACTTAGGTGTAATATGTGCGTGCACTGCAGGGATAAGCTTAGCAGAGCTTATGCAACATGCCAGGATCTGAGCCACGACTCCAGGCCAGCACTGGCAAAGTGACCTGAAAGATCAACCAGGACAAGAGGGACGTGGAGCTGCTAGAGAGGGGCCAGCACAAGAGCGACAAAGATGATGGAGGGACTGGAGCAGCTATTGTATGAGGAAAGACTGAGCAAGCTGAGCCTGGTTAGCCTGGAGAAGAGCAGACTGAGAGGAGATTTGATCAACATGTGCAAGTACCTGAGGGGTGACTGTAGGGAGGATGGGGCCAGGCTCTTCCCTGTGGTGGCCAGTGACAGGACAAGTGGTAACGAGCGCAAGTTGAAATATAGGAAGTTTAATCTCCATGTGAGGAAGAACTTCTTTCCTATGAGGGTGCCAGAGCCCTGGCACAGGCTGCCCAAAGAGGCTGTGGAGGTTCCTTCTCTGGAGATCTTCAAACCCATCTGGATGCCACCCTGTGTCCCTGCTCTGGGTGTCCCTGCTAGAGCAGGGGGTTGGACTAGATGATCTCTAGTGGTCCCTTCCAAACTTAACCATTCAGTGAACCACCACTAGACTGGCATCAACTGGTGACTAACCAAAAGCAAAAACAAGCCATCTACGAGCAGCTTCTACAAATCCTTCCCTTTCCCAAAATCTGGTGCTTTGAGGACCCCTCCATGTTGCTTCAACACTCCAAATGAAGGCTGCTCCTGGGAAAGGAATCCAGCCTCAACTAGGCCAGCATGGAGGTCAGCCATATCGTGTCCCTGACAGCTAGATAAGCTTACAAAACTGCTGCGGTTGCTGGGCATAATAAAACCAGCCTAAGCAACCCTGTAACTCAAATCTCACCTATTAACCGTGGCCAAGATTATGCCAGACTCAAGCAATACAACCATGTCACAAAAGTTCCTACTGCAGAAACAAATTATACTGGCTAGTGTTGTTATGACTCAGGTGGGCACATGTGGCATACCTGCCTCCTGCTGTGGATCCTAGGCAAGGCTGCAGCAAACTGCAGCCCTGTTACCAAGGGAAGCCTGGTGCTTTTTTGATAGAGAATCAGCACTACTCTTGCAACCTGCTAACTGTACAGTTTAGTTATATACAACAAGATACACCCACCTCTGGGTTGGATTATTGGCTGTACTCCTCTGCCAGGTCCGGGACTGGACAAGACAGAAGAGAAATTGGCGTTTCTCACCAGTTTTTTTAACATTGTTGAGAGTGACAGGTATCTTGCTCTTTTCTCCAGGCACTACCCTGCCCAACCTGACTTCTATCTGCAGAGCAAAACCCTTTGTTGGAGCTGTGAGACACCTCCTTCCCCAGAGGCTATCAGCCAAGATGGCAGCAGATCAGGAGTGCTAACATGAATGCTGTCACTATTGCCTGGGTCACTTCTCTTTTGGCTAAGACTGAATTAAGAGGAGTTAACTAAAGTTACATACACTTCGGTTAGCCTCACAGCAAAGCCAGGCTCAGGGACTGGGAGCAGGCAGTTGGAGAGGATAAGAAACAGATCTTCAGCGATATGGGTGAAAACATGAAGAGCTCCTGGTGCCAGCACCGAAACCAGATAGAGCACACCCCTCCAACAACTTGACCACCACTCGAGTTTTACTTTACCCGGCCAGTATTTCTGCTCTGTCTCTGGTCCAGGTTATTTGCCAGCCTCTCCTCTGCATCCAGGTTGCCATTGTCCTTGTTCAGGAGGAAGTCGTTGTGCTGGGAGAGCGAGTCGCTTTCGGAGTGGTTGGCAGACGGAGTGTCTGACCCCTGGTTAGCAGGGGACGATGATCTGGAGGGCGATTCTAAGAACTTCTTGATTGAAGGGTGATTAAGAATCGTTGCATCACAGGATCTTGTCCCCTGCAACAGAGATACAGGCAAATCCATTATTCTCCCTTTAGTCCAGACAAAATGAGGCTCTGCCAGAGCACAAGAAGTTAATGACCAAAGGAAGATAAAATATTTAATCAACTACCTTGCAAGTAAAACATACGTCACAGAACATAAAAGCTTGTAACTGTCCTGCGGAAAGTGGAGCCCAAATCTAATCATTCTCTATAAACCTTTTGATCCCAGAAACCTATCCGCCTTTGGAAAGAAAGTCTGCAACCTAGCCAGACACTCATAACACCACCCTGCAGGTAAGGGCTTCCCTCCCTTTCCAGGCATCTACAGTTTCCTTTCATACACAGTAAGGCCAGAGCTGCCTGACTCTTGCAGCAGGGAGGGAACGTACATGTTTGTGACTGTTTTCGATACTGCTCCCGTGCAAGCCTAGGAGACGAACTGCACGTATGGGTGCACTGGCTGCTCACAAAAACTTAACAGGGGATAAAGAATAATACGCTTAGGCATGTTTGCAAACTTGCCTCAAACCAGACGTATTAGAGCTTGTCTTACACACTCCCAAACCTCTCCATAGAGGTGCCTGCAAAGACTGCAGGGCTGGAAGTGCTTAGATCTCTCTCTTCTTTTTCCCCCATAGATTCTTTTCTGATTTTGCTTCTAATGTCAGAATTATCAAGGAAAATACTCATCACAGCAAGCATCCTGTTGCGAGTTCTCCTCCCAGACACTAGTTCCATCTCCTTCAGGACGTCCTGCTTTGATGATAGATCAACTAGGCAGAAACAACCCTCCTTCAGCAAGAGGTGTCACAAGGAGAGCCAAGGGCAGTTGCAAGGAGAAACAAATCAAGACATTGATGTGGTTCGGTTTGCTTTCTTTTGCAGAATTATTTGTAACCCACATCCCTTTCACAGCGTGACCAAAATCCTGCTGCAAGGACAGAGGCAGTGGCTCGGAGGCAACACCAGCACTACTAAACTGGAGTTGCCTGAAGAGGTGAGCAGCAGTGGAGTTGAACACTGTCCTGTGTTGGACTTCAAAGCTTTGCTGGACAGCTTTTTTCTTTCAACGTTGTGTTAGGCATGTGACCTAAACAACCCACAACCCTCCCTGCTCAAGAGCACTTAAAACAGTTTTGAAACCTAAATCTTCACCTTTTACTTCGCTACACACAAACAGAAATCCTACCAGTTTTCCAAAAAAAAAGAAAGCTCATCTTTAAAACAACAAAAAAAAGATCCTAACAGAATTGTTCCTTCAGCTCTATTCAGGCCCTTCCAAAATATTCAGGAAGAAGAAGAAAAAAAAAAGGGGGGGGGGCAGGGATCAGGAACTCATTTTGTCAAGTAAATTGACAACATATTGTCCACTTATTTGTAGGGGGAAAAAAAAAAAAAGAAAAAGAAAAACAACCTGCAATTGTACTTAACCATATGCCTCAAAACCGGGCAATACTAGATTTTTTTTTTTAATATCAGAACAGATTAGGAATTTGCAAAAAATCTTCCTAGAACCTCACAGGCATTTATATAATAATGTAACAAATTATACTACAGAAGGTTTATATTCTAACAGAAGCAGAAGACAGACAATCATTTATTGGAAACAGAACCAAACAGACATTATCCATGCATTAAAAACAGACAACAAAAGAAAAACAAAACTAGCAACTAGACCTCATTTAGCCTGCATGCAAGTCACAATTTCAGAAGCAATTTTAAAATCAAAACAGCTATGCCAGCCATAAACGCTTAAAAATGCAGGAAAAAAAAAAAGAAAAAGAAAAAAAAAGAGCTAGGCCATACCAGTAAGTTGTGTGATTTTTGTGAGTACTTCAAAACAATTATTAAAGTTATTTTTTCTGGAAGGTGTGAAACTCAGCAAGAAAAAAAAAACAAAACACTACATGGCAGAACAAGCTCTTGCTGACACATGATGACACTGGATAAAAGTACTTAAAAACATGAGAATCTTGCTCAAATTTTTCAGCCACCCACACAAAATTCAAAGCAGGAGGAGGAGATATCCAAGTTTCCCAATACTACAACGATCTTTCCCAATGCCAGCTGCTCAACCTGAACCCGGTGAGGGGGGAAAAACAACAACAACAACAACAACAACAAAAACCCCACAAGGTGGAATTTAAGTATTACGGAAATCATAAGCAAAAAAAAAAAAAAAAAAAGTAGGAGCACTAGGAATAACAATGCAAGCCCTTGCTTAGAAAGGAAATTTTCTAGGTAGCAAGGTGAAATCAAAGTTTTCAGTACACATCTACAGTTTTCAAAAATCAGCTCTGATTATTACTGGAGATCAGATAAACTGCCCCAAATTATAAGGCTAATAACTAAAACAATTAAACTGGTAGTGAACTACAAGGCAATCAGAAGCCCGCATTCAACCTCAGTATGAACAGCCCACAATGGGCAGGCCATGGAGATCATGGTGCCCAAAATTGGTGTTTAACTGGTGGTCTTATTATTCCAAAATTATTTTTTTACCTCTCCAGCTTTAAGGAGACCAGCAGAAGCATAATAGTTTGCCACAATGCAGGCCCGCAGCTTATCCATCATCCTTCTTGCTTCAATCAGGCGCTACGAGAAGAAGAAATAACGTATAATAATGGGCAGCTAGCACAGCAATCCCCCAAACATCCTGGACTTCAGTTAATTTAAAGAATAAGACCTTCATACCTGATCTATAACTTCAATTTCATGTTCTTTATTCTTCATTTCAACAGCAAACTGTTCTTTTATAATTGTCTCGATCTTCTGCACAGCAACATCTCGAGCTGCACAGGGCCACACATGGAAAACAAAGAAGAGAAAGCATTTGTATTTTTATTTTTGAGGTTGTACTTGAAGGAAAAAAATTTCAAAAAAACTACAAGCATAAATAATTAAGGAGTAAAAAGCGATGGAATAAGCAGGAAGGATCATTCTTCTGCAGAAGATCTCCTGTCTTAACAAAAAACACGTATATCTTTAACAGCTGGCTTATACGGAGAAATTTTTTTCCTTAGAGGACAAAAACATCTTGAGATGGGAAGAACAGGACCGGTTTGCTTACTTTTGTTTAGTGAAGATGGAAACAGAAAAAGAAAAATTCAAATTTGTTCCTGCCAAGTGCAGTTACCACTGCAATTGTGCCGAGGTAACTGGCATACTATTTACATTTTTCTGCTCTCTTTGGGCCAGTCCATATTCAGGAAATTTAAACCACTTCATGTAGGAACAACAACTCAAGTACTTTGTATGCTCAGCACTGGCGCAAAGAACAGCCTGCTCTTGAGAGCCTACAAGCCTTTCATTGCCCACAAAGGAAACTACATTATCCAAAGCTGGTTCACTCCTCACACAATCCGCAGGGTAGTTAAAAACTCCTATGCGTTCTATAGAAGTTTACTGACCTTGGTAGAAAACATGTAGTTCAATATTTAAAATTGTTTGGATTCCCTACCATAAATTAAGACTTTCAGAACTGAAACAGCATCTTACTCTTTTTCTACAACATGTATGCACAAAGAATAATTTGTTTTGTAATGTGCTTAATGAAGTTTTTAAACACTCCCTCCTTTGAGCAGGGCCCGTTATACCTGGGACATTCGACCAACACACCCATTTTTAACAAGTTCAGCTTGAACTTGTAAAAGTGGAAACTTGAAAAGTGGGAATTCTGCTTGCAGAAGAAAGGCTGTAACAGTTGCCCAGTGCAAGCCAGTAATTCCAATCACCCCAATACAGAGCAGCTCAGAGAAGCAGCTTGGGTTCCCTGGGAATATTGTACAGTGTTTGTTAGTGCTTCAGGGGAAGCATTTGCTTGACTAAAGGGTATATACCTGATCAAAGAGGTTTCTAATATCACAATAGAAAGGATGAAGAAACCAAAGTCTGTCCAAAATTGGCAGGTACGTTGCACTTGGCACACAGAACTTTACAGTCTAATCATAGTTACCTAAATGGAAGCAATGCAGCTTATGGTTTGCTACATGTGTATACTTTTATGCACCTATTTCCAGGTGTCTGCTGTGGAAGACCTGAAGGAATTCTTGCATAGAAAACTGGAGCTCTTCCAAGAGAAGGAAGAAGCAAGTTTGAAAGAATCACCTGAGCAATAAGTTCACTTTAAGAAGTTTTCCAAAAGCAAAGACCTGTCTGGCTAACTATTAAAAACTTCCAAGAAGTTGCTTCAGAAGGCAGATAAAAATCTGCCCTCAGTCACTGGGATGCAACACCATAAAGAGCAGCAACTTCTGGCAGACAGAGAGCTGGGAGCAGCAACACTGTTTTGCCACAGCTAGTTCCCCTGTCACACTGACCCGGAACCTGCAGACAAGACCTGCCTAGCAGCACATCCAGAGCGAAGCTCAGTACCCACCCGCTTGCTCCAGCTGTACACTGTCCTCCAAACCACCACCTGGGAAACCATAATCTGTCCCTCTCTAGCTGGCAGCTCCAGCGACCTGCCCCATCCCTGGATCTTCTTCAGACCTCACAGCCAGTTTCATTTTTCTCTTTCTATCCTGGTCCTCACCCACTAGCCGTGCTACGCCACATATTGCTCTATCCCTCAGCCCACTCCCTGTCACACAAGCGAGAGACTCCACTCTCACTTGCCCAGAGGAGATTCAAACCCGACCTAGGCATTCAGCCAGTGGGATGGTTCCCAAAGCATTTATGACAGTGCCAAATGCAAAGCTACTCATCCAGCGATGCTCTCTACTACACTTCTTTCTCCATCTTTCTTTCAGTCATGTAGTTACAGGTAGTTACTCCTCTTTTGCATCCTTAAAAAACCCATCCTCCTCCCCTAGCTTATCCCTTCTACATTACCTCATTTCACTTCATCTGCCTTCTCTTGTAATCATTTGTCTCCCTTTTCCTAGAGCCAGCCTATCCCCAGGGTCATGGATTTCTTCTCTCCCACCTTACTGTTTCCACCTGCTGCACCCCCCAAACTTGCAAACTAATTGCCAGCAGGTTTCAACTGCAAAACAAACGCACAGGTAGGAGCATATGACAACACAAGTAACATCTGATGCTGCCACGCAGAGGCATCACTAGCTTCCTCACCCTTTGCCCCTTTAGCTCCATCTACTCCTGTCTTTTTTGGAACTGTTTGCACACAACATGCAGAATCCGTGGCATTTCTAATCCCACACATAACAGGATTAAAATTCAGACAGTTCCTACCTGACTGTTCAGCTGCTTTGTGACGCTTACTGGGATGCGTGACTGTGATCTCCTCATAGTCGGGGTCCTTCTCCGCAACTGCTCTCTTGATCCCAGACATGTTCCCTCAACTACTTCACTGAGAGGAAAGAAAAGCAGTAACATTATGCAGAGCAGCTCCCAGACAGTGTTCAAAGATTGTTCTGAAACCAAAGGGGCCCAGCACAGAGTCCTGCCTCACACCTGGCGAAGCATCTGAAACACCCTCTTCCCCGGCTGCTACAGGTCATCCCACAGCTGCAAAGCTCAGCGCTCGTCCAGTTATACACACTCCACAGATTCACATTGCTCCTGATCTTTGGTCTCTAAAACCCACCCCAAACTGGCACACAGTAAGCTCCTGTGACGCTGGAATGATAGGACTGAAAAACTGAACAATCTTTGCAGCCACTGAGCAGCTGCCCTGCAAACACCCCTTGTCTCCCTCCTGGAAGGCGAACGTCTTCATGCAGGGCTAGCACGGGTGCCCAGGGACAGCCACCAAGGCTGGTGCTCCTGTTAGCAACTTTTCTTCCACTTTAGTCACGATCCACTGAAGCCAAGGTCACAGTGCCATTCTCGGTGAAGTCTGTAAGCAGGTCTTGGAGGATATCCGGACTTAACACTTAATCTCATTGCAGCCGGAGTATTTTCTCAGCGCTAGCCCCATCACATGCGGGCACTTGCTCACAATACAGAGCCTCAACGCCATATCGATTGCCCTGAACAAGCTGGCGCCCAGACAGAGATACAAATACGCAACATTGCTTGGGAAATGTGAATAGCTTCACCTGTGAAGTTACACAAGCACAGAGATACGCAAGTGCATGTGTATTAACTGGCAGCGGGGGAGTTGGGACGGCGGCCTCTGAAGCTCACCTGCC